ATGTTGTTTTTGGTCTACTTTCTTTTTCTTTAAGTTATTAGAATAGGTTTTCTAAGTTAGTTTTTGCTTGCTGCTACAATTTTTGTCTTGTCTGTTTTTGAAAAAAGGGATCAGCAAAAAGAGTGTATGATAAATATATATATCAATTGTTGAGGTAGTATGAACTATTACAATTAAGGATATTTATAATCATATTGTTTCTGAAAATTACCAATCAAAAATTAAAAACAAAAAGGACAATTTAAAAAAAAATATTGTATTATATATTTGCATCTTCTAAGGTTACTTGTTGAATTGTATGAGCATGATGAAGAAAGCATTACTGAAATTTTTGAAGGTTTACTCCATCTTGCTTCTGCATTAAATAACTATTTTAAAGTTATACCTTCTATGCTTGAAAAAAATATAGAAAAATCAGAAGCAACTTTAATATTATATAAATCTTTTGCATTATCTAATAAAAAGCAAGTAAGAGCTTCAAAAAATTATTACAATGCACCAATATTTAGTGATATCACTATTTCTATAGACTTAAAGCAAAAACTTGAAATATATGATAGATATTGTTTTACAAAAGTATATATTTAAAATAACTATAGATTTATTTATAATTTATATTAACTATTTTAATCTTACAGATTTTATTATAATTCATCTTATATTTAAAAATACTTTAATATTTAATTTGGCACTTATTCATTGGTATGATTTTAAACACTAAACATTCCTTCAAAATTTTATAAATTTGAGTGCTCTTATTTACAATTAACAAGTATTTACAATATAATTCTGATAGAATCAATAAATAATATTGTTCATATTGTTTCATAGTTTGATATAATAAATTCATATTATGTTAATATTTTCATATAACTGTATAGAATTTATATTTATATTTTTTTTGCTTATTTAATTTTTTACTATTTGCTATATAATGGTAAGAGTTGTAATAAAATTTTTTAGCTTTTTTAACCTACTATATTTTATAGTCCAAACCACTTGCACAATTTTTTACAGTTTTATATATATTTACAATCTAATATTATATTGTTGTATTAATTATACTAATACTATATTGATAACAATATATTGTTATCAATTAAAACTACCTAGACAAAAACTGTTAAATGTTTTACAAAAGAAAAGGTTTGGCCTATGAAATATGGTACTGAAATAAGTATATACATCTTGTATTATGCTATAATATTAATTTATGTTATAATTTAATTTTTATCTATATATATAGTGCAACAGATAATGAGTGATAAAAATTAAATTCATAAGGAGTTGCTTAAAGTATTCAAATAGATCTTATTGCACAATTAAGCAATAAAAACAGGTAACTGACTATTGTTATTCTTTTTTGAATCTGTATAGAACACTATCAAGATAATATATATGTTTTATTTAAAATTCATAAATCATATATTCAAGCTTTGATTTGGTTAGTAAAAAAAACTATTACAATTTTGAAGATAGGCAAAAGAGAATATTTTAGTATTTGATGTAAGCCAATATTTATATATTTTATTTATAACCATTAATTAAAGAATTAAGAATTAATTAAAATTTAAATATTTAATTCTTCAGTAGCAATAATAGATCAAGAAGATTGTTAACACCACCTTATTAATCATATGCTTCTAAATCAAGTAGTAATAAATTTAATCAAATGACATAAAAGTTATAACAATCAAATGAACTTATCTACAGAATTTACTAAAATCTGCAATAATATTAAATATAAATTATCAAACAAATAAGGATTTAAAGTCTAGGTATTAGTAAAAAGATAATAAAGATACTGAAACAAAGATAGGCAACAAATTTAATAGCAACTTAGAAATAGGTATACCAGATAGCGAGCTGCTAGTACAAGCAATATACAAAGATCTTCAAAATTAAAGCAAGCATTATAAAACTTGTATGTATCATTTTGATTTAACTGATTTAATAATATTAATATGAAAGAGCAAAATCTGCTTTCTTGATACAAATTTATACTTAATTAGGACTAATTACTATTTTAGATAGGATTTGCATTAATAACATATATATATAATTATTTCTGTATAGGTTTTATTCTGTCGTATATGAATTATCTAATTGTATCTTTTTTTTAAATATAATATGTATTTGTTAATAATATCTTATTTACTACAATTTAGCATTATCTTCTCAAAAATAACCTATATATATATAATTTTTATATAAATTATTTATATGAAATTTTTTTTTTTTTTGGTATTAAGATGACCTCTTTGGTCCGAGCTTTTTATTAATACTTATAGCAGGTACATGTTTTATATAGACATATCTATAATGAACTATTAAACAAGTATACAACTGGCTACATATGTAACTTTTCTATATTATCTATTTAAGGAGTCTGCCCGAGGGTTCACCACCAGTTGCTATATCTAACACCTCTGCTTAGATATTTCATTTAAATCCTCTGATCTAACCCTAGTATTAATTTCACCAGATCACAGACCCAGATCTATTCACATTCGACCATAAGACTATAATCTTAAACTATTTTTATCCTCAAGGTAAACCTACCAGAGCGAGCCATATTCTCTTTTATCGCTAACCTGTTTGATGCTATAACCAGGGCCAACACTTGCAATCAGAGTTACTTCTTAAACTGCTATTACTCTTGTAAAGTTCACCCAAACCCTGGTACCCATCTTTCTGACTTCTTCTCCATCATCCCCTACTAGCTGCAACTCAGAATTAACAACAGACTTCCCCAGACTTCCAATCCAGATGGCCTGGTATAGTATACTTATATATCCTTTTCCTCTGATGATTCTGGCAGCCTGGTTGGTTATATGCTCCTCTACACATCTTTGTTATCCGATTTATCTGACAGTTCCTATGAAGGTGTTTCATGGGCTTCCATCAGTCCAATGGCATCATCAAAAGTTTGCGCTACCTCTTTACTCAGGATTTTCAAGTTTCTATCTCTTCAGTTTCTTAGCCTTCTATGCCTAGTGGTCTTATCGTGGATTTGCCCGAAGCCTTATACAACACCAGTTTTACATTCCTCTATGTACATGTACCATGTAACATTACATTTCACATAGATGCCCCAAGCTTCCAATGTCAGATAGGACCCGACTTGGTGTACTTAAGATTACAGATGCCCAAAACCTAATGATCAGCAAGAGACAGTTACTGTAACATAGGTATAATTTCCAAAATTCATCGTCCATGGAAATTGAACCTTAGACCTGCCACTTGAGGGTTGACAATCTATCCACTTCACTAAGTCACCACACCCCTATATGAAATTTATAATTATACAAAATTATAACATATTATATTGAATATAACAATAATTCATCACTTTTATAAATATATAAACATTATATAAAATTTTATTTATTTATATAATTATAAATAAAGTTTGAATAAATCTAAACAAAGCCTCTATATGATTAGTACTGCTAGAGTTAAATAAGAATAATTTTAGAAAAAAATATAAACTACAATTTATTAGAATTAGAATTAAGGTAAAATTGCATAACGAACATTTTTTATTAGTTATACAATAGAAATTATTTATATAAAATCTTGAGATATTAGAAGAGAAGCACAAAGGGTATAAAAACTGTCTGATTCTGTTCATAAACTTTTTATAAATATTACATTAAATAATATATAATTATTAATATATAAATATTATATAGTTAAAATATATAACTTTTATAAATATATAAAATTTATATAAATATTTTATTTATAATTTATTAATATATAAATGTTATATAGTCAAAATATATAACTTTTATAAATATATAAAATTTATATAAATATTTTATTTATAATTTATTAATATATAAATGTTATATAGTTAAAATATATAACTTCTATAAATATATAAAATTTAAATAATTTTTTTATATAAAATTATACTTATATAATTATAAATAACCTTTTATATAGATGTTATATTAAATTATATATAATAATTGTTATATATAATTTTTATATAATATTCTATATAGTATTTATATAAATTTATAGACTTATATAGATTTTATAAAAAATATACTTGGTAATGTTATATATTATCTACTAACATTACAATTGCACTACACTTATAATCTATTTAATATTTATTTTTTAATAATATTACTACATATTAAGCATTGATGCAAAATCTCAACTGAGATTACCTGTATTTATCTAATTCATTCCTTAATTAAATAAGTAGCTGTGTGATGTTGTTATGCAAAACCAGGAACAGAAGATAGATTTTCAGATCAAGTTACAGATAAAACTGCTTTGTCATAAGTTTTTTGTTAACAGTAAGTAAGTAAACCTTTTTTTTTTTATAATAGCATTTGTATAAGTTACTAAACATTGTATTTAACTTTCATAAAAATATATGAAATTATGCAGATGTCTTAGTACTAATCACTTTGCTTTCTATAATAGAATGATATAATTAAAGCAGCAAACAAAAACAGGTAAAATTGATAATGATTTAATAAATATATAACAAGATTAAAAGCCAAGATAATAAATAAAGAAATTAATATTATTTAATAAGCTAGAAATAATAATTATCTAATTACAAACATCTAATTCATATTTTTTTTTATCATATGTTAATAAACAAAAGCTTATAGATAAAAATCTAGAAATCACAAGATAAAATTACAAGATTATAATAATCAATCAGATAAAAAAGAGACATACTATTTTAGATGCTTATAAACTATACTTTACATTGTACAAACTAAACTGAAATACTTCTAAATGTCTATATCAATTAAAAAAACCTAGCTTTTTTCATTCTAAATTTCTAAATTATTTATCTTCTTATTAGATTAACTTATTTTTTTTCTCTTACTTAAAATAAAAACACTCAAATTACCTCTATCTATCTATTATATTAAAATTATTTGAACTTTTATGTAGATGTTATGTTTAATTTATTTTATATTATTACTTTTTAAATAATGTAACAGTATTACTAATATGGAATTAGTCATCAATTAAAATTTAAGATAAAGTTAAAATAATTCTATTGCTAGTATTAAGCAATAATATCAGACCTGAAAATTATCATTTGACTAGTCTTACTTAGTATATAAACAATCATTTTATTAGTATATTTTACAAAAACTTATTAATTTCAACCTATTCAACTCTATTGCAAACTTAAAATTACTTTTAACTAATATTAATCTTAGGACAGTAGAATTTATGATTAAAGATTTTTAACAATTTATAAGAAATAATGGCATATCAGTTTAGTACAAGCTTAACTTAAAAACTGATCAGCAATAATTACTAACTATAACACTAATATATATAACACTTGGAGTTAATAAATGTTCTTTATCTTTATCAGTTATAGAACATACTTTAGTGCTAAATCACTAGCTGTCCATAAATTGCATTTAATTTTTATCATATTTATGTTATATATTGTATATATGTTATAGGTCAAATTGATTTTTAAATCAAATTAACCTTGACCTTTATCAAATTAATCAATTAAAAAATCTTGCCCAGTATCTACTCTTTAAATTCTATTAAGAATCATTTTTGACTTAGGTCAAATTTAATTT